AAACTAATTCATTAAGTACCACATAGTATTATTTATTTGTTTAAGTTTTTAAGAAAGACCCAGTCGTTGCTTTGGTCATTATAAAACAAATTTATAAAAAATGTGTTGATTTCAGGAAGAATTTCCTTGAAACTGTTAAAATTTGTTTTCCATATTTGTTCATATTGTACACTTGCCTGTGATGTACTACTACAAAGAGAAATGTATTTATTTATTTAACGCTGCACCTGCTTTACACTGACTTTGAGACTCTCTGGGTATAAATAGTACCAAATTACATATTTTTCAGGCCCTTTCCAAGGAACAAAAAATCTGTCCCTTTCTACTGTTGGAACCATGAAATGAATAGGGTTCAGTTTGTGACCAAAAAGACGTCATTCCTCACTGTTTCCCAAAGAGAAAAAAATATTATTATTATGTTACATTAACCAAGCACTTATCTGCCAAGTGAAACTGTGAAACATGACACCATTTGTTTGAATTTTGTGTTAGCAATCCAGTTGAAAGGATAAACAGCATTTTCATCATATAACTCAGCCTGCAGAGTATTTTCAAATGTGTACCATTAGAGTGTTTTTCCATTTCAGTATTGACAGCTCTCCTCTGGCTCTAATTTCACTAGTGACTCTCTGATAGACACAGTGGGGGTAAAATGTCCACTCCATTTCTGCGAAGCCTAACTTTAAGCTATATTTCATTCTTTTCCCTGCTTATATTTAAAATGCTGTCAGTTATTTTAAATCATGAACTTGTCAGAGGAATAAATGGCCATCAAAGCGCCAGCATGAGCCATGCTGCGTTTGCCAACCATTTTTCACACCTTCTTTTTTCAGGATGTAAACAAGGTTTTTATGGCTTTTTATCTAGAAATACCAGCCTGATACCAGAGGCTGTGAGGCATTATACTAGATGACCTACCCTATCCATTTGTACCAACTGTGTCATGCTAGCATGTCGGGAAGGTGGCCATTTTCAAAGGGATCCCATGACCTCTGACCTCAAGATATCTGAATAAAAATTGGTTCTGTGGGTACCCACAAATCCTCCCTTTGCAGTGAAGCCCACTTTATGCTAATCCTATGCAGTTTGGAGCAAAAACCATGCAGTTATTTTACACATGGTGTAAATGTGTAATTTTTTTCCTTGTGTATTTGAATATTTCTGCCTACTGGGGTCCCTAAACACTATTCGAATTGCATAAACTGGAAAGCTGTGACTCAGACTTCATGCCACCACTGCATAAATCCCCCACTTGTGCCAGCCTTGTCAAAAAAGTCTGGTTGGGTGTCTGGAATTAGAATTTTTATGCCACACTATCTGTGGAATAAAGCATGGGGCCTTATTTCATTTTTAATTATTAAAAATAATTAAATAGAATCATAACATTCAAAAGTGACAATATATTTATTACTGGGTAGATGAGTGATCCTGCTGACAGCTCTGCATTGTAGTTGTTCGCATCATTAGTGTTTTTATCAAAAAAACATATCTGTGTTACTTACCGTTTTACACTTAGAGTTCTTTTTTAGGTTGAGTTCTGATAGTTGTTTTTCAGATGTTGTCCGTAATGTATCTCTAGGCGGTTGGCTTAGTTATGTATGCAGTCTATTTTCAGGACATAGAGCTTTGAAATAAAGCTTTGACTAATCTTCACACATCCTGGGGAGCTCCTGGTAGGCATGCTTCTCTCTTCGGCTCCTTTGTGGTGAGGGACGACGGGAGAGAAAAGGGGGGGAGGAGGGGAGGAGTGGAGAGAGAAGTGGCAGGGCCTGTGGTCATCCTACAGGGTGTGTGAGGTTGCCAGAGGCCTTGTAATCCTCCCCCACCCCTGCCCTCCTCCCCCCCTCTATCATCCCCTCCACCTCACCATGACAAACCGGATCTGCTCTCTATCAAAGAGCCACAGGCTACCTCTCCTCTTTTTCCTCCTTTCTTACCCAGCGGTCCTCATCCCATTTGTCATTTACCCTGCCTCGGTCTTGGTCAGCTCGCAGGGACAGGCTGTTGCTGCCAGTCTTGGCTGCCGAGCTCATAGGTCTGGCAAGGAGGAGCCACCAGTTTCCCCAGTGGCAGCATTTAGAAAGCCACTTAATGGATTTAGGCGCATTTGCTAATTTGTCAACAAGTTTCGGATGTGGAGCTCCCTGCCAGGCTGGTTGGTCTGGCACTTGACTGGAAGGGATCTCTATTGGCCAACCATTTCTGGAACCATGGGTGAAATCAAATTCAAAGGCCTTTTCACTCAACTGTTTGTGTGTTGGCACTTGAAACAGTAGAATTCAATGCTGAAAGGCTTACAAACAGGCTCATGCGCTAACTAATTATTATTTTAATGGAGAATGATTCAGAGGATTTTCAATTAGAAAAGAAGACAGTTATGGGAGATACAGTAAATAATCTTTTTTTTTTGCGTCAAAGATGATCAAATATACCTACACTTGCCTCATTTGCACATTTCCTGCCTCCCAAGAGCCTAACATCCTGTTTACACAAGAGGCGTAGGATGAGCAGCACATTAGAATAGCAGCAGCAGTTTCAGTGCTTAAGGTCCATTATACAATCACAGTAGTTACGTGTGTAAAAATGAAAAAATAGACTTGAAGCTTAAAAATAATCTTCATAACACATTAAGCAAAGCACAAGCCATTACTCATCCTGTGTAGACAGCTGGATCGATTAAAATAGAAGCACATTTGTTCCATCAGGTGTGTGTGAGACTGACAACTGAAAAATGCAGCTGTAACGTCTTGACACTGTAAAGCTTGCAGCCGTTGTTTGTGTTGAGCAGGTAATTTACATAAATAGCTTTATAGCGTTACTTTCTCACGTTCAAGTAGTTCATTTCTTTTTTTTGTCATAAGATTTTAATTTAGTCAAAATTTGGGGTAGACTGAATCAGTGCCTGAATTAGACCAAAATTTCAATTCAATTCAATTCAATTCAATTTTATTTGTATAGCGCCAATTCATAACAGAAGTTATCTCAGGACACTTTTCAAATAGAGCAGGTCTAGACCGAACTCTTTAAAACATTAATTACAGAGACCCAACAGTACCACCATGAGCAAGCACTTGGCGACAAGGGCAAGGAAAAACTGCCTGTTAAAAGGCAGAAACCTAGGACAAATCTCCGGCTCTAGGTGGGTGGTCGCCTTGCCCTTGTCGCCAAGTGCTTGCTCATGGTGGTACTGTTGGGTCTCTGTAATTAATGTTAAAGAGTTCGGTCTAGACCGGCTCTATTTGAAAAGTGTCCTGAGATAACTTCTGTTATGAATTGGCGCTATACAAATAACATTGAATTGAATTGAATTGAATTTGATGCTCAAGTCTCTGTAAAAGAATATTATGGTCAATGGTGTCAAATGCAGCACTAAGATCTAATAATACAAGTACAGAGACAAAAGATTCCACAAACCTTTTTTACAACCCTAACCATCTGACTCCTCATGCCTAAACCTAACCAACCAAACTAAGGCAATAAATAGCCAATCAGAAGCAGAGTAAGGCAGGTTTTTGCAGAATTGAAAACAAATGGGGTTTAGAGGTGTTTAGTAGAGACTTACCATTAAGTGGCGATATGCAATAAGTAATAACGGTACTCATGTGGATACAACTCAATACTGGTGAGTTTAGTTACCCATTTCAGGCACTGTATGACACATCACTATTCATGCCTAAACCTAACCAACCAAATCAACAATGAAGGCAACAAGCACTAGTCAGTCAGAGGCAGGGTATTGGAAGAATGCTGTTCGGAAAAAAGGTTTTTTGTTAGACAGTTGTTTAAGGGTGCGTACCTAGACTTGTCTGGAGGTGGCAGTACGTGATAAGAAGTAAGGGTACTCATGTGGACAAAAATCCAATGTGCCAACTCAGTCCTGGTGAACACTGACCCATTTCAGGCACTGAATATGAATATATAAACAGACATTCCCTCATGCAATTATCAGACCCTGTGTGCCTCTATAATACTGATACATACATATCTGGCTTTCCAAGAAGAGCACTTTTTGCCTCTCCAATCCAAAATGTTGCTCCAATGTCCACTGGAGCTTAATTTTGTTATCACAGTCTATACAACAGCCTGCATAAAATGTTTCTCAAACTACAGTTGTGTTAGATAAATAGCAACTTGAATTTTAAAAAAAGCTAGCTACGGAGTAAAAGTCAGTTAAACGATAAGGTTGCTGTTATTAAAATGTTTCTAATTGTGAACAAATCCCATGAGAAGACCGACAAGTTACGAGTCCCTACCATGTCTGTGGCTCTCAGCTCCAAGCCCATTTATTTCCAAGTGAGGATAGTTTCCCCCCTACGGAAGTCTTTTTAAAAAATGCTCACAAATGTATAGTTTCATTTCCTAAAACTGCTCACTGTAGATTTTAACAAATATTGCTTATACAGAAAGAAATAGTGTATTTTTGGGGACTGTTTTCAGCGGCGGAATAATTAAGTATTTCTGGCAGCAGGATGGTGTATGTTGGATTGAGTCACAAACTGTATTATGGGTGTTCATAGTAATGAAAGAACATGTCACTCAGTGTAACAGTTTGTCTCACTGATGTGTTTTTAATAGTTTTTTTGAGAAACAATGGAGCTCAGAAGAAGACGATATATTAGGCTTACACAAGCAATACTTGTTAACATGGCATTCAGCTTTTCAAGCGGGCTTAAGCTATTTTCCACTGAAAAGAGTCAGTAACACTTCCATTGGTAGCTTTTTACTGGTCAAACCTCACTCACTTGCTGTTTAAAGGCACTAGGCACAATTCTAATGCAATAATTAAGTTATTATACAGTAACCTGTTGACAACCTGCTATTTTCACACTTAAGACCAGCCTAATGAATTCAAATGAGAGCTAAGCACCCTTAATTCCCCCAGTTTAATTCACCTTAACAGTGAATAACACAGATTTGGGAGATTTAAGGCCTTGAAGAAATTAACCTTTCGGAATTAAAGTTGAGATCTGTTTTTCTCCTGTTTGTTGTCATCAATCCAGGGTTTCTAAGCACAGGAGACCAGGCAGCCAAGGGTAACTACGGCCTTCTGGATCAAATTCAGGCTCTCAGGTGGATCAAAGAAAACATCCAGTCCTTCAAAGGAGACCCAAAGAGAGTGACCATTTTTGGCTCTGGCGCCGGAGCATCATGCGTCAGCCTGCTCACCCTCTCGCATTACTCAGAAGGTATGTCCGCTTGCTCACAGGCATGCATAAGCACACAGAGTTATGCTCACATGCAAAGGCCTTTTTCATTGTTTTGTCATTTCTCCTTTATGTGTACGTCTACTTATCATAGTAAATGGTAAATGGACCTGCACTTATATATAAGTATATATACACTACCAGTCAAAAGTTTGGACACACCTTCTCATTTAATGGTTTTTCTTTATTTTCATGACTATTTACATTGTAGATTATCACTGAAGGCATCAAAACTATGAATGAACACACATGGAATTATGTAGTGAACAAAAAAGTGTGAAATAACTCAAAACATGTTTCATATCTTAGATTCTTCAAAATAGCCACCCTTTGCTTTGATTACTGCTTTGCACACTCTTGGCATTCTCTCGCTGAGCTTCATGAGGTAGTCACCTGAAATGGTTTTCCAACAGTCTTGAAGGAGTTCCCAGAGATGTTGAGCACTTGTTGGCCCTTTTGCTTTCACTCTGCGGTTCATCTCATCCCAAACCATCTCGATTGGGTTTAGGTCAGATGACTGTGGAGGCCAGATCATCTGGCGCAGCACTCTCCTTCTTGGTCAAATAGCCCTTACACAGCCTGGAGGTGTGTTTGGGGTCATTGTCCTGTTGAAAAATAAATGATGGTCCAACTAAACGCTAAACTAAACTAAACCGGATGGGATGGCATGATGCTGCAGGATGCTGTGGTAGCCATGCTGGTTCAGTGTGCCTTCAATTTTCAATAAATCCCCAACAGTGTCACCAGCAAAGCACCCCAACACCATCACACCTCCTCCTCCATGCTTCATGGTGGGAACCATGCATGTAGAGACCATCCGTTCACCTTTTCTGTGTCGCACAAAGACACCGCGGGTGGAACCAAAAATTTGGACTCATCAGACCAAAGCACAGATTTCCACTGGTCTGTCCATTGCTTGTGTTTGTTTGCCCAAAAAAATCTCTTCTGCTTGTTGCTTTTCCTTAGTAGTGTTTTTTTAGCAGCTATTTGAAGGCCTGATTCGCGCAGTCTCCTCTGAACAGTTGAAGTAGAGATGTGTCTGCTACTAGAACTCTGTGTGGCATTATTCTGGGCTCTAATCTGAGGTGCTGTTAACTTGCGATTTCTGAGGCTGGTGACTCGGATGAACTTATCCTCAGCAGCAGAGGTGACTCTTGCTCTTCCTTTCCCGGTGCGGTCCTCATGTGAGCCAGTTTCGTCGTAGCGCTTGATGGTTTTTGCGACTGCACTTGGGGACACATTCAAAGTTTTTGCAATTTTCCGGACTGACTGACCTTCAGTTCTTAAAGTATTGATGGACTGTCGTTTCTCTTTACTTAGCTGATTGGTTCTTGCCATAATATGAATTCTAACAGTTGTCAAATAGGGCTGTGTACCAAACTGACTTCTGCACAACACAACTGATGGTCCAAACCCCATTAAGAAGGCAAGAAATTCCACAAATAAACCCTGACAAGGCACACCTGTGAAGTGAAAACCATTTCAGGTGACTACATCATGAAGCTCATTGAGAGAAGGCCAAGGGTTTGCATCGCTGTCAACAAAGCAAAGGGTGGCTACTTTGAGGAATCTAAAATATGAAACATATTTAGAGTTATTTCACACTTTTTTGTTTACTACATAATTCCATGTGTTCATTCATAGTTTTGATGCCTTCAATGAGAATCTACAATGTAAATAGTCATGAAAATAAAGAAAAACAATTAAATGAGAAGGTGTGTCCAAACTTTTGACTGGTAGTGTATAATAAGTTATATATATGTATAGTGTCTTTCTAGTCTTCTGACCACTCAAAGCGCTTTTACACTACATGCCACATTTGCCCTTTCACACGCATTCATTCAGTGATGCACAGCATCAGGAGCAATTTGGGGTTCAGTATCTTGCTCAAGGATACTTCAACACATGGTTGGAGGAGCCAGGGATCGAACCAACAACCTTCCGATTAGTTGACAACCGGCTATGCCTCTGAGCCACAGCCGCCCCAACATGCTCTGACACATTGTGGGCTTCACATCAAGAACACACAATGAGCTCTGATGTGTTGGTTTTATTTCATTTAAATGTGCAATATGTAATTTTCGCCACAAGTGGGTCTATCACATCAAAACAATAACAAAAGAGTTTAATGATGTCATGAAGTAGCATGGGATCATGGGAGTTGCTGTCTTCACCACTATTGCTGCCACTGCAGTCAGCGTCTCCCGGTTAGGATTCCTTCAGTGTTCATCATTTAGCAGGTTTCTACCGGGAGCCAAGTTATCCACAGAGATCTCCTCCACCTCCAAAACAAACCGGTAAATCCGGTAAAAACACTGAATAAAGCATTTTCACCTTAAAAATCTGTGTTTCTCAGAGGCTGTTCGGCATACGAAGGACAATCCAGGGGGGCTGCAAGTTGAGCCGCTTCTAACACTAGCTCAGCTTGTTTCTCTGATAACTTAACATCCAGATACCCGACGAATAAAATCCTAAATCAGGTTCAAATATATAGTTTAAAACCAACAAGAGCTAAAAAGTTTAATGTGAAAATGTGGTTTAAAACTGGATAAAAAGTCAATTGCAAAAGCTTCTGGCAGACAACCACTACGCTGATGCATGCACAAAAGGGGATATGATGCCATTACCAGGCGACTGGTTAAATGCAGCGTTATCTGAAAAAAATGACATTTCTCTGGTTTTGAACAGTGTTGGAAACATTTGGGGTAAAGTAAGTAATGTAATGTAACACATGAATAGTGTTTATAGGCATTTTAATGCTGAAATGTTGCATATTATAGTTTTAAAGATGGGCTCAGTCATTCTGGAGGGAGATAGTTGATTGAATCTCATTCCAAGATCGTTAAATACTGACAATTTGGCTTATTGTAAATTGGAAACAACCTAGGATGGCTAGGATCAAGCCACACAGCACAACAGGTGGTGTTCATGCTCCCAGGTTTGCAACCCAAAGTGTTGGTATTTGAAGACCTTGGGAATGAGACTCAACCATCAACTATCTTTCTCTAAGCTGACTGACCCTACCTTTAAGGCAAGTGTGAACAGCAACATTTAAACTCTGATGACACTAAGTATTTATTCTCTAAAGGTATTGCAAACTTGAGTCTGGACTGAATCACATATTCAGGCATTTGATGATGTGTTAAACTGTAGAAGGATGTTATAGCGAGGACCAAATCAAGCAGCTTAAGTTACACAGACCAGCAAGCCTAAGAATGTAAAAGTTAATTTGTCACAGATTTGGCATAGATGATCAGATTTGGGGGACTCTTTGACCTCTTTTGTTTAGATCAACCACTGACACATGACCAGACTTATGGATTTGTGTGGATTTTCATGGTCTATAGTGGATAAAACTTGTAAAAGGGTTTTTGGTGCCTCTCAGTTCCACCATCAGAAAGACATTTCTACTTCTGCACAAACAAACGAATGTTACAACTACTGTTACAACTGTTTAGTAGAACTAGATTAGAAAGGCTTTAGAGAATGTTAAAAGATGGATTTCAGTTCAATTCAATTCAATTGTATTTATATAGTGCCAATTCATAACAGAAGTTATCTCAGGACACTTTTCAAATAGAGCAGGTCTAGACCGAACTCTTTATAACATTATTTACAGAGACCCAACAGTACCACCATGAGCAAGCACTTGGCGACAAGGGCAAGGAAAAACTGATGGTACTGTAACAATACAGTACCATCTAAGTAGCAGGAGTGCACTGAATAAGTCCAGTATAGCATCAGTTATTTAAATAGCCTGTTTTGTAACTTTTCATCAGATTACTCATCACATTTGATCCCCACATGCAAAGACAACAACCGAAGAATGTGTTCATTCATGCATTCTGCCTCACTCTAAAAACATTAAAGGAGAAGGGATGAGAGATTCTGTATTATCATATTGTATTTCCATTTTTATTTACATGTATTATTAATGCAGATTCTAAATAGGAGAACCAAAACGTCTTTCTCTTTTGTCCCATGGCTCTCATAAGCTTACAAATGAATAGTTTTGTGCATCTCAAACGTATATAACTGGCGAGAAAAATCATCTGGCCCATCTGTCAGAAAAAAAGGAGGATTTGGAGGATTCGATCTCACAAAGTGCTGCTGCAGTTCTCAGGCCATTTTGCTCTCTGTGTGGAAAAAATACAGGCTTTGTGAAAAATGCACCTTCCTACAAAATCAACCTTTTTATCTTTATGGTAGAAGTCCATTGGGCTTTTCGTAAAGGCAATCATTGTGAGGGAGTCTTTCTTTTTGCTCTTTTGGTCTTGTGTTGCACTTATTAGGTCTGTTTCTCTTTTTTTTAAATCTTGCACTGGAGGGAATGGAAATGGCTTACTTTACATTTAGACAAAAATCCCCATGTTCTGATGGGCAGAAATCATGGCTGAGGGAGTCGACAAACATTTGTGGTGATGTATAATACATGGCCAAGAAAAGTAATGCTTAATTTTACATTTGCTATTGTGAATTGAAGCTCTCCTGTTGTTAAGCTACCATGAAGACATCAGCTTGTGCATCAGAAAATATACCCAGGTTGTAAAAAAAATCCCAGTCACTCTGTATGTATAGTTCTGAAGTTAACATCTGACTTGAGGTTTAACTGATACTCCACATCTGACTTACGGTGGCAGCAGTAAAAGCATGCACACTGTTAACCAGGCCTTGTGGGAAATGTCTGCTGTGTGCTCAAAACATACTTTTCAAGTCGGCCTGGTTGAGTCACCACCACTGTGTTTGCATGAGTATAAATAGCACTCTCTGAAATTGAAACAAAAAAATACACATAACTCCAATGTTCCTAGTGTATTGTGGCCTACTTGCTGATTGGCAGTCTGTGAAGCCGCAATCCAGGATGTGGAAACTGCCTAAGGTGTCGTTGCTGTATAAACAGCAAATATATTTTATGTTTCGGTTTGTTCATTAGGGACACAAAGATGTAACATCAGTATTCTGAATCATCCTTTTATTTGCCTTGAGATGTTTTTATTCTGGTATTTCAAGAGATAGAGCTTAAGAATTATGTGTTTGACAAGGTTTCTCTCAATGATTTTTTAAAATTAAACTATTTATTACTATTCTCCTGAATGACTGACCCCACCTTCAAATAGATTTAACATTTCTGGCAAAAGATAGATTCTTTTTTTTTATGGCTGTATTTTCTGATTTATGGAGTGATAATGAATGATATTATAGAACATATTTCCTTCTGTAAAAACCTTTGACATATATGTCAATCGAATGAAAAAATTTTTTTTTAACCGTAACCCTTAAATTAGATAATGCAACATTTGCACATTTACAGTTGTCTTAACTGTCAACAGAGGAAGTTTGATGGTTATATCTATTTGTTGATTGTTTTTAACCCTTTTTTACCTGTAGTGTCTCCCCTAGATTTTAGAATTTCTGCACCATTTGAAACATTAGATTGATGATATTGTTTTCATTACATGTATAACAAAGTGTTGCCAGTATCTTTGTGTGTATGTGTGTGTGTATATGTTACTAATCCAGCTTCAATCTCAGATCTGTTCCAGAAAGCCATCATCCAGAGTGGCACAGCACTGTCCAGCTGGGCGGTCAACTACCAGCCTGCCAAGTACACACGAGCCCTGGCTGAGAAGGTGGGCTGCAACATGCTGGACACTATCGACTTGGTGGAGTGCCTGCAAAACAAGAACTACAAAGAGCTGATCGAGCAGTACATCACACCTGCAAAGTACCACATCGCCTTTGGGCCTGTGATTGATGGTGACGTCATACCAGATGACCCCCAGATCCTCATGGAGCAAGGGGAGTTCCTCAACTATGACATCATGCTGGGGGTCAATCAGGGCGAAGGGTTCAAGTTTGTGGACGGCATCGTGGACAGTGAGGACGGGGTGTCCGCCAATGATTTTGACTTTGCTGTGTCCGACTTTGTTGACCATCTCTATGGCTACCCGGAGGGCAAGGACACTCTGCGCGAGACCATCAAATTCATGTACACGGACTGGGCAGACAAGGAGAACCCAGAGACCCGGCGCAAGACCCTGGTGGCTCTTTTCACTGACCACCAATGGGTGGCACCAGCAGTGGCCACAGCTGACCTCCACGCCCAGTATGGCTCACCCACCTATTTCTACGCTTTCTACCACCATTGTCAGAGTGACATGAAGCCCAGCTGGGCCGACTCGGCCCACGGTGATGAAGTACCGTACGTGTTTGGAATCCCCATGATTGGCCCCACAGACCTCTTCAATTGCAACTTCTCTAAGAATGACGTGATGCTGAGTGCTGTCGTCATGACCTACTGGACTAACTTTGCTAAAACAGGGTGAGTGCTCCCTTCCCTTCTCTTTAGATTTCTTGCATTTTTATTTATCTCATCATTTGTATGAGATACACAACCCTTACCACTCCCTTTTACACCCCATTTCCTACTCAGCCAGGTTCAAACACAGAAACACTCTCCGTTGAGAATAAATCTGCTTAGAAATCATATAAAAGAGTGAATTCATGGAAATCACAGTGCTCCATCCCAATCAATCAATGCTGACTACAGAACATAAAAATAATGGAGATAAAATAACTAATCAAACAAAAACATGAAGAACCATAAACAAAATGACATTTACGATTTACGCCTCACATATTTCTGGCTATGCTGTCATGTGATCTGATAGATAAAAGACAGACAATATGGTTTAGTGTGTATGACTGGTGGGGTAGGTATTGATTATACATTTTGTGATGTGTCACCATGCTCACCATCAACTCTGTAAGGATGCAGGACCATGGGCAAGAAAACCCCCAAAATGGAATTCTCCTCAATCATGGATGTATTAAAGGTCCAGTGTGTAGGATTTTGTGGCATCTAGCGGTGTAGTAGCAACACACAGCAACACACAGAAACTATCGTGGCTGTGAAATGCATGAAAAATGCAAATGCCTCTATCTAGAGCCAGTTTTTGGTTTGTCATTTTGGGGCTACTGTAGAAACATGGTGGCTGCCATGGAGGTAAAAATCGTATATTCAGATGATTATACACTAATGAAAACATACTAATGAATACTATATTCAATTTCTGCCAACAAAGTTATACACTGTAACTTTAACTTGTAAAAACAAAAACAAAAAAAAAGAAAGCTGATGGCATTGCAATAAGGTGAAAAAAGAAAGAAAGAAAAAACAATAAGTGACAAAATCATTAATATTTTGTACTTTTTATTTGTGTTTTGACAGTACTTTGGCAAAGACTGTACCATAAACATAGTTCTTACATCCCCAGTACACTGCGTTTAAAAAACCCCAAAAGTTTTAAACGTTTTCAAACTAAGCATTTTAGTACATACCACTGGCATGCCAATTGAAGTGGTCTAACAGGATATGACATTCCTACGTGACAGTGCCATTATCTGTAAATAAAGGGAATGAAAACCGACTGAAAACTGCCAAGGGTTCTTGTTTTAGTCTGTTTAGTCTAAAGCCTGCAGAGAATGAGTAGTTGATACTCCAAATATAGATTCGGGTGGGATATCAACAAAAAGTTTTGTTCTGATTAGTGTCTTAATGATTAACTCATAAGTCAAAGAGATCAAGTGGAGGTTAATAAAATAAGTCAAATCCTCCCCTGATGCTGTGGCAGCACTGGATTTGATGAGAGGATTTGCTTGCTGTTTATATTTGGATCACGTTTTTCTTTCACACACCTTGAGATTAGGTATCAGGGTGTTTGCAGCCCAGTCATACTGAAAATTCACTTTAAGGTGAATAAATATAGTCTTGATCAGCTTCATAGGCTGCAGCGTTCACTCCCAAGCTCTCTGTTTGGCACCCATCCAGCTGATGCCTGATCAGCGGGGGATTGGCTGCCTTATAGACATTTTGGGAAGGCTCTTTTCTCTTGCTTCTTTTTTTCAGTCTGCTTCCAATAAAGCAGTGACTGAAGGCAAATTCATGGCCATTTTTCAACAAGTCAGCCCCACTCTTTGTAAAGTCTCCCGTTGTGAATCACTGCAGATTGATGTTTTGAAACTTTTCGGGCTTTCATAGAAAAACAATTTGGCAGTTTGGATGTACAGACAGAGACATGGATTTCTAAGATTCATACGTTGATTTTAAATTGATATTTGATTAAATTTAGAAATATGAAATGATATCAACATTTCTGTATAAATGTCAATTAAAAACATTATTTATCTTTACATCTTGCCCAGTCGGTACTGCGCAATGTGCAAGCAGAGATCACTCCTTACCTATTTAAAAAATTATACGAATAACGAATGTTATTGATTTAAGAGATTTTTTTTTTTCTGATTGTTGTCTTCTGTATGCAGTCTGTTGCATTTTCAAGTTTTCCCCTTTTTGAAAATGTATCTCTTGCGAGTCGAGTCCCCCAACTTTATGGAAGTGACCACTGACAATTTTCATAATGAATTAATGGTTTAAAGCTCCAGCAAATTTTTTTTTACGTTTATAAAAAATAACTTCTTGTCATATTTGCTGAAATTTTCACTATATCCTGACATAAACATGAGACAGATATCTGTGAAAAAAAATCAGGTTCCCCTGGCTCCTCCTAGTGCTCCTAGTGGAATCTGCAAGAATCCACCTGGTCTTAATGAAAACAACGAATCCAAGCAGAGAAAGATAGTTGATTGACAACATAGGAATGAGACTTGACAGACATGAGTCCCAAACCTTCAAGCCATCAACCCAGTGTTTCAATATTTGACATCCTGGGAATGATCAACTATCTTTCTTGGCTCTGATTTATTTTTCATGTTTTTGTTCAGGCATGGTGGATTCTTGCAAATGTAATTGAAGCACTAGGAAGAGCCAGAAGAACCTGATTTTTCACAGGTTATCTGCTTCATGTACTACTGTCAGGATATAGTGAACATTTCACAAAATATGACAAAAAGTTATTTTTATACAAGTTACCTACTGTAGCTTTAAATACTTTATCAAGAAAACACAAATATTCCCCCTTTTTGCATTTTTCTTCTTAAATTTTTGTAAATTGAATGTATTTAGATATTTCAATTGTTGAAGGAATAAGCAATTTGGGGCTCTGGAATCTTGCAAAAACTGTTAGTCATTGTATCTAGTCATTTTATGGACTAATCTATATCAGTAATGAAAAAAAAACTGATGAAGCTAAGTGTGAATTAAAATCAGAGTTATACAACACTCTATACAAGCTGAATTTTTCTATTTAAAGCTGCCCTGGTGTCAGACAGTATAGGATAACACTGAATCTCATCTGAGTAGTGAAAGCATCTGTTCCACTGCTCTGACAACTGAATTTTCAGTTTTCATACACCTGTCAGACAGAGAGCAGTACAGATTTAGCATAGCGACCTATTGCAAGAGTCACTGTTATTATCAACAGATTGGATGCTTAATGGAAACATATGCAAGCAAAGCATGTATTTTGCAGTTCAATGAGCATGGAAGGCCCAGAGTGTTGTCTTTTAAAGCAAATTCAGTGGCATATTGTTCCAACATATGTTAGAAGTAAGATGACAGGCCCACCACATGCTAGTAGTGCCTTATGTATGGTTCCATATGTAGCCACCAGTTGGAGGGCAGACCCTGCATTATGTCTTTTTTAATGAGATAACCACATTAGGCATAGGTGGAACTGTGTACATTTTGGACCAATGTGTTTGCCCTACTTTTAATAGATCCCCCATGTTACCTTGGCAACAGCTACTCTTCCTGGGGTTCATGTTAACAAAATACACTGTTACAATAGCTGGCTGTGTATTCAGTTATGAATGTAAGTGTTGATTGCGTCACAGTTTTGTAATTTCTTCGTTTTGTTTGTACAATGTATCCATCTGATTCCCAGACTTAAGATAAGATAAAGCTTGGCGAGTGACAGCTATATGCTAAACCTGTTTGTTTTTTTGCACAATTCTGGCACACAGGAGTCTGTTATCTAATGATGAAGTGCCCTCCAGGGTGCCCTTCCAGTGGACAAAACGTTGTAAAGTGCCTAAAGCGCTAATCCTAACCCTGACGGAGTTGTTTTACCATAAATGCATCATTTCTGCAAGCTGGTGCCCTTTTTATTTTTCACCAATGCCCCTGAAAATTCAATTCAATTCAATTCAACTTTATTTGTATAGCGCCAATTCATAACAGAAGTTATCTCAGGACACTTTTCAAATAGAGCAGGTCTAGACCAAACTCTTTAAAACATTAATTACAGAGACCCAACAGTACCACCATGAGCAAGCACTTGGCGACAAGGGCAAGGAAAAACTGCCTGTTAAAAGGCAGAAGCCTAGGACAGATCCTCCGGCTCTAGGTGGGTGGTCGTCTGTCTCGACCAGTTGGGGTGAGAGAGAGAGAGAGAGAGAGAGGCAGAGAGAGAGAGAGAGTGAGAGACAGACAGACAGGTGCACAGCAACAACAGTATTGGCAATGGCAATCTAGCAGGACCACCAAAACTACATGAGTTCACCATTGCTTGGTCTTGCTGCTTTTCTTAGTCCTTTGTGATGGTAAATGAAGTGTCTTTAGGTTTTGGACTGTTGGTTGGACAAAAGAAGCTAAACAATTTTTTGACATTTTATAGGCAAAAGAACTAATCGTGAAAATAATTGTTACTATAGCCCAAATTATCCAACAAGGTTGCTCTGGTAGCTTAACTGGTAGAGCAGACCATGAACCAAAGTCCTTGCTGCAGCGGCCATGGGTTCAAGTTCGACCTGTGGCCCTTTGCTGCATGTCTCTCTCTCTCTCTCTCTCTCTCTCTCTCTCTCTCTCTCTCTCTCTCTCTCAAGGGGTGGACAAAAAAATTACTATAAAAGGGCAAAATGTAGCTATCACTGTACAGCTTAGGTTGATGTCTTCTAAGTGCCCCCAGACCCTTTCACAGTAAAGGACTGGAGCAATATGAATGAGTGGGGTTGTGATTCTGTATACAGTCATTATAGCCAGCTGGCACACTGAAATATTTGCCCAAGTGCTGGAATATAGAGCTGGATTCACCTCAGGTTACCACTGAATTTTCATCAAATATTTAATAATTGTAAATAATAATGAAATATTTTAATTTTACTATTTAAATTCCATGAAAACTAATATAATGTAATAGCAAAGAACGTCTTCTAAACAGAGAAGATAGAGCACTTGGGTCTGTAATTGTTTTATGGCAGCTGTGGCTCCACGTCTCCGCATGGTGAACTGTCCTTGGGCATCGAGCCATCGGTGTGCGAGTGTGAATGGGTGAATTAGAGGCAAATTTTGCTTTGGATTGAAGTGCTATAAGATTTTTTATTAACTTTAGAAAATAAGCACTGGCCCTGTAGCACAATTGAAAAAGCAAACAAAAAATACAATGAAGCAATTTTAAAACAGGCAAATTGAAATGGTGAAATAAAAAAAAGCTTACAAAGAGGCACAAGCAGATGGCCTGTGTGTGGAGGTCTGTTGTTGTGTTTGCAGATTTATTTCTCTCCCTGCCCTCCTTTGTTCAGCACAATCAGTGGAACAACCTTCCAAAAACTGTGATTACTTTGTTTCAGAACTCTTGGGTCAGCTTTGTCTCCCAAAAGGCCTTTATTGCTTGGACAAACTCTGGGTTCGTGGGCTTTTAAGATCCTTTCAAACCAACAAACCTCAACCAAACAGACTCTATAGGATTCAAATGCGATGACTCTGAAGGAGTCTTAACTCAGCTGATTCCTCTGACTCAATGCATTGGTGCAATGCAACCAATGGTTTGGTTCAGAACGTTCCCTCATATATGGATTGGTTGTTTGCTTATGACATGATCTCCAGTCTGACAGGAAATCCTTCTCAAACATGAAGCTTTAAGGGATGTTTGAGCTGAGCAGCTTTACATTTGCCTCACTGCAAAATATACAGTGTACGTAGTGTGAAAGACTGAAAGTAATAATGCACTTTATATTACTTACTGCACTGGTAACCTTGTCACTTTTGAGATAAAGATGATTGTTTTCCAAATTGTTAGAAAGTATGGAAGTGCATTGCATCACCAAAGAAACAAATGGAGATGTTAGCTAACTAGGACTATGTCATAATTCTGAGATTCCTCATGAATATTAAAGTGTTTTGGCAACATTTGTCTCTGAATGGTGTCTTTTATCAGAGTTAGGACACCCACACATGATGGTCCGCTGGCTGTGGCATTGTTTTCCTATGGGGAAAGCATTGATGCCCAACTAGGCAGAGGTGCTACCAAGCCCCAGGAAGAGCACTGGGCTTTGAAGCCAAATTGACATAATGGCACAGGGACATAAAAATACATTTTCCCAAAAGTTTACATTGAGAAGGATGTGGCTGTAAAATGGTGGCTGAATTTTTTTTTAGCATCACAACCTCTGTGAAATGATTTGTTTCACTATCAGAACATTTTGAAAGTCTAGAAGAGCTGCACTATTAAATCATGGGCTGTAGCAAGTGCAGTATGCATTCTTTTGGAAGAACAGGAAGTGGCTTTTTTGGCTTCATGCACCACTGAGCAGATTTCAAAGGAGTGCCACCTCCAAAGCTGTATCCAGACCCACTTAATACATCCATGGGAGCTATCCATGGCAGGACGCACTTCTCAAAATTTTACCGAGTGCTGGACAAGTTCAAATTATTTCAGCTTTGACCTTGGTTGCCACTAACCTTTCAAAGCACTACCAACCACACATGCTGTTTATGCATTAGCTGCGCCAGGCATACAATGTGACAGGCTTCTTTTCACAAGCATAGCTATATAAACAGTAAATGACCAGAAAACATTAGCTTAGGAACAGTAAATCCCATCATGTTTATGCATTTTGTATTTATTTTTTTGTAGAAGGAGAATTTACAAAGAGCAACTCTCATATCATGTGAAGGCAGTTTTAGCTTACACACAACAGATGCTAAGATCAAATGCTACATCATAACTATGGTGTTTCATTGGATTGCATTGTTATGGGAACAGCCAACAGTCAGACTGTCACAGTGTGTATGTTTATGACTGAAACTTTGCAACTGTTTAAGATGCAGCAGTCTGACAATCAGATTGAACAGATATTTAAATTATATTAAGTATGCAATTTCATTTAAAAAAAAAAAACCTGAAAGAAATGAAAGGCCATTTTGAATTCAGTTTCACCATCATCATGGCAGGGTCCATGTGTTCATTTTCATTTATTAAGTGTTGTCTAACTTGAAAAATATTGGCAGCCCTGGACTACCATACCCTTCACATGTAGGTTACATATGCTGTGTCCCAATTCCATATTTTATACTAATTGTACAGAATAATCTTCATTACTAATCTTTATTTTGTACAGTTTTTGCAGTCAGTATAAAATGAATTGACATACATAACTAGGGGTATAGGGTATTTAGTATGGCAGTTGGGGTTTTGGGACACGACTATAAAGTATATTAGCAACATTATCATGCACACACCTTCTCTCACACTTTAAATTCAATAAACTACATTCATTTGGAAGACACCATTTTCCAGAGACACAATAAGTACATTCAACTTCCAAAGACGGATGTGGAAGTGCACATTTATTACGTCCATACTCCTATGCAAAAACTGCATAGTACAGTCCTATATACATACACCCATACACATCTATCTGTAACCACACACAACCTTTTCAGTCACACCCATGCACAAACACACCCCACTGATTGTTTGTCTCTCATACAAAGGCAGGAGTTCCTTGGTAGCCCCAAAATGAAATGTGTGACTCCAGATGAGTCCTTCCTATTGAGTATTTAAATATACATGCCTACACACACACACACACACACACCACACCAACAACACACATACAGCACACATGCAGATACACAAACACTCCAGTGTGTCGGCTCCAAGGTTGTTGTCTAGCCTTCACTCCCCCTCACCTCTCCAAAGTTAATGAAATCGCTCCCACAAAGTCGCTAGAGAGGCTGCTCTGTTCCAAACTACAAAAAAATAACACCCCAGGTGAGATTGAATATAAAGAAAATGTGACAACAGACCTGGAAATGTTTCATTGGTGTATAAAGGACACGGAACATTTTGTCAGCTCGAGCATTCAAATTCTGAGTCACCTAGAAACGCATTAGCTTTGAACAGAGGGAGCGGAAAAATAGAAGAAAGGCTTTCACTCTTTGGAGTAATGACTGTAATGTATTATTACACTGCTTTAAAATGATTTGAAGGAAAAGCCAATTTACATAGCGTTTTAAATATGACCATTATGTTTTTAATTGTGACAAAGGTGAACATATAATTTATATTTTTCCTGTTCATTTATGTCCCATTAACGCATGTTAATAGTAACTATATATTAATTATCCAGCCTGATATCCTGGGCTGTATTCAGGTACGTAAAAGCCTTTTCATTATATCTCTTCTTTCTTCTATTTTCTCCTTTCAGGGATCCAAACCAACCTGTTCCACAGGATACAAAGTTCATCCACACAAAACCCAACCGGTTTGAGGAGGTAGCCTGGACTAAGTACAACCCCAAAGACCAGCTCTACCTTCACATTGGCCTCAAACCTCGAGTCCGAGACCACTACCGTGCTACCAAGGTCGCTTTCTGGTTAGAACTAGTTCCACATCTCCACAACATAAATGAATTTTTTCAATACGTATCCACCACCACCAAGATACCTCCGCAGGACACCACCCCGTACCCTTACACCAAACGGTTCCCTGGCAAAAACAACTGGCCATCCACTACCCGCCACCCAGGGGTCCCGCCTGCCAACACCAAACAGACCACCGACCAGCGCAAGAGTGGTGACCTGACGGATGAGTCGACTGTGGTGATCGAGACCAAGAGGGACTACTCCACGGAACTCAGCGTCACCATTGCAGTCGGCGCGTCCCTGCTCTTTCTGAATATCCTCGCCTTCGCTGCGCTGTACTACAAGAAAGATAAGCGGCGGCATGAGTCAAATCGGCGCGTCCCCACCCCACAACGCAACTCTGCTCCGACCAACACGCCATCCACTGCCAACGACGTGGCCCACCTGCAGAGCGAGGAACTGATGTCACTGCAGATGAAGCAGCAGCAGCTGGAGCACGAGCACCACCACGAGTGCGAGCCGCTGCAGACCCACGACACACTGCGCCTCACCTGCCCACCCGACTACACCCTCACCCTGCGCCGGTCGCCTGACGACATACCCCTGATGACGCCGAGCACCATCACTATGATCCCCAACTCGCTGGCTGGCATGCAGCCACTGCACAACTTCAATACTTTCGGTGGCAGCCAGAACAGTACCAACTTACCCCATGGCCACTCCACCACACGGGTATAGCTCCCCTGGGAAGGGCTGCTGCCGGATTCCGTCTGGATCAGCCACTAACCTTGCAAGGCAAATATGACAAGATAAAACTGTGTGAAGCACAGACTCAGCAGATGTTATTTTGCTACCATGCCTTCTTGAAAAGTATATACCGTATAAATTGATCATGAACTCATGACAATATTCAGTGAATGTTACTATAGTAATAACTCTATTTGGAGCTAAGCTTCATGGAAGGTTTCGAGGAGTTTTACCAAAAGACAAGGCAAACAGGGGATGACTGTTAATATTCTTACAACACAAAAAGAATTCAGTGTGACAAAGAAGCCTCTGCTGAGGCTTTTGTGCCATAAATATATAATGGGAAGACAGTGGCAACAGTTGAACGTCTGAAACATCATCTTTTCATGATTCTTCATGCATCAGACACCTGACTTGGGCACAGAATTCAACACCCCAGCCTGAAATGTATTTATGAAAACTTTGTAAAAAAAGAAAAAAAAAGAAAAAAGGTATATAGTTGTGCGTGGAAATTTAAAAAGTTAAAAAAGAAAACATTATATTAAAAGAGCTCCTCCTATTATTGTTTTTTATTTTGGCTGAGATATTTTGGGTTTTTTGAGCTTGTGCTTTCTGTTTAGGTGCGTGTAAATATATCCAAACATTCTCCATTTTTTTTCTGATTACAATCTGTGTTTCATTATTTTTATTATTTTTCACAGAACGACCAAAATGCGAACACAATCTCATCCTTGGAGATTTGCACACCATGGGTCTGCAGGTCATCACATACAGAAGTGTCTCGTGCATTGCTTTGTTTCCACTCTTTAGACATTGCATGTCCAGGAAGAGCTTTACTCTCCATTTTTAGACACGTCTCCTGTCTGAGAATGAGGACTGATTTTGATCCCATCACCTGCTGTCATCCTGTTATGCTTCCAATAGTTTTCTTTGTGGGCTTTTTCTGTCTTGCAATCAGCACTGCCTGAGCTTACAATGTGACCAGCAATGTATTATTTAGAAATAAAAAAGGCAGTGATTTTTTTTGTATCAATATTAGTTGGATATGTTTGTAAAGAAATATGTGTTAGATATTTCAAATTGTCATATGCTAGCAATATGTAAAGTATTGTGCCAGGCTTGTGATATTTTGGGTTACAAAAGCAAGTGAATGAGTGTAAATATTAATGATATTAATTATTATGAAATTACAGCAAAAGTAACCATTAACTCTCTTTCCGTTTTGCATCCTATTACAAAAAAAAAAAAAAAAAAAATGGAAGTACATCCAGAAGATTTTAAGCTACATTTGTAAATTCTATAAAAAGATATATTCTTGCCATTTGGTCCCTAAACCAGTCAAGATAACAAGGGTTTTAATGTAGAGTTTTAAAATCCTTAGTTCGTCTTATATTTGTTTGCGGTTTTGCCTTAAGTGATAATAGAGATATTTCTGGCTGGACACCTGTATAAACTTTTTCTGCAACATTTTTAATAAAAAATCACAGTATTTTCTAAAAAAAAAGAAAAAAAAGAAACATGGAAAGTTTGGATTTGTTTGGACGGTTATGTGTGCAAATGTGATTAGATGTATATGCATGACAGTTAGATTAAATTGTACATCTTCAAATAGTGGGTTTTATTTAGCTAAACTGCAGGGAAAACTAGACATATTTGACAAGTTATTTAGGACGTTATTTTTTTCAAATTTTCTTCCAATTGCTTCCACTTTGACGTTCTTTTGACTGCTGTTACTAACAATAAAACTCAACACTTCCTGCACAACTTCATATTAACAGCTAGCAGCTTAAAGGCCATAATCTCCCTTTCCTTGTCAAATTTTAATGTGAACTCACAAAAAATAAAAGAAAAACAGTAAAAAAAAAAGGCTTCCCAAACAGGTCAATAATATCAACAAAAAAGAGGAAGAAGGGAACCATATGCAGAAAAGTGAAAGAACTTAAAAGAACAGTGTGTGGGATTTAGTGGTATCTAGTGGTGAAGTTGCAGATTGCAATCAAGTAAAGACCGCTCGCCTTGCAAGTGTTCAGAAGAAACTGCGGTAGCTGGGAAAAACATGTCTGGTTTGTATGTTCTTGGGCTACTGTACTGGACTGAAACATGGAGGTTCAACATGGCAGCCTCTGTGGAAGGGGACCCGTTCCCTCTGCAGATAAAAACGTCTCATTCCAAAACAAAACAATTCTTATTTTCAGGTGATTATACACTAATGAAAACATACCTATGAATATTATATTCCATTTCTGTCAATATATCTTCCTAAAAGTTACACACTGGATTTTTAAGTATGCATTACAATATATAATCATCTTTTTCGATCGATAGTCCATGCAAGATTGTCCCTGTTCAATGAAATGGAAAGTCTTGTAATATTAAACCTCTGAAGAAATACTTCACCGATAGTAGCTTAATGTCAACAGAAAAATGTCACAGTAGAAGCAATAACTGCTGATTGAAGTTGATGTTACAGAAACTCAACAGTGTTTTCACAATGAAAGCCAGCAGCTTTTTCAGAGAGCATCATTCCTCCCTTTCCTAGTGGCGTCACTCTGATCAAAAGAACAGCAAAGTAGAAGTGATTCTAAGTAAATAGTGAATGAAAATAGCATATGTGTTTGAGCAGCACAGCGGTGGGTATCACGTAACTGTTGTGCTGTTGAAATGCGACTGAAAAAACATCAAATGGAAGGATTGGTAAGTATGTCATGGCCTTGGTCATCGGAGACTCTCATTATTTGAATACCAACTTTTGTTTTTGTTTTATTTTGGAAAATGTACAGTTCAAATACGAGTCATGTGCAGGATATTGTTTAGCTTTGTATTACAGCACTCTTATGATACATGAAAACCCCCAATTTTCAAGAAGGTAGACTGACTCTCATTGCAGTGATGCAGCTGTATGGTTCTTATTGAGTTTGACTGAATCAATACCAGCAATCTAGCACTTGAAACTTTTTGAAACATTGAATTGCATCTGCAAACAGTTTGGGCTCTGCCAGCTAAGCTAAAATCTCTAGCTGTTTCGGCCTTTGTGATTTGCTGTTGTGCTCCGTAAGGGAAAACAAGACTGAATAGCAAAGAGTGCTGCTGCCGTGGTTACAAGGCCTCCCCTGACACTCACATCCAGATTCTTAAGCATCCTGCATTCAGTAAAACTGCCTCGAAAATCACCTGCCCCATCACGACCACCTTACCTCCTTGCTCACTATTCAATTTATTGATCCCCTTTGCAACAAGCCAAGCAAATTAGCTTTTGAGTTAAAACTGAAGTGACAGGGGGAAAATTGAAATCTTTAATAGTAATCTGCAGTTACTGAGGCGCAGTGGATGTCTCCATCCTGTGACATTTGCCAAGCTCCCCCATAAGTACAGGCTGATGTGTAAAATTTGTTTTTATGAGACGGGGGAAAAACTTTCTTTCATTAGCAAAATTGTTTGATCCATAATATATGATCCAGCAAACAAGCCTTATACATACTGAGATGAATATTTATTTTGAGACTTGTGTGCAAACAAAGCAGCGCGAATGTGCAGGCACCCTTTTAATTGGCATGTTGTTTATGCTTGGGGTAATGGGGTGGAGGTGTTGGTGGGTTGGGGGGAGGAGTGATGCAAGGAGAATGACGGTGGGGTGGGTGGGCTGAATGTGAATACTGGAGACTCGACTGGAAGTTAATTAAGCTGGCAACAGCGCTCCATCACTCAACCACGGTCCCAGAACTGTCATTCAAGTGCACCACTCTCCAGGCAGCCATTACCGAGGCATATCGATTGCCACGGTGACAAGGTAGTGCACCAAATGGGAGTGGGCAGAGATGAAGGTTTTGTGTGTATGTGCGTATAAGTGTGTGTGAGTTTGGGATATGGGAAAAGATGGGTGAAATGTTTCTATGTGCTACGAACACTGCGCAAAGTCCTGCTGTGAGCAGCTGCAGCGAGAACCTCTGCTGTATTCCCCAAACATGAATTAAAATGCAGGTAAATACCTCAGCAGCAAAGCCAGTTGATTGCATTCCCCTCCCTGGGTAGCTGGAGCCTTAATAGATGAATATGAAATCTTCAGAGTCAATATATGTGCAGTTAAGTGGTAAGGAACCGAGGTGGCGGTAATAGCCTCCAGAAATCCCCCTCAACATATTTTACTTTGGAAAATATTGTTCTCCACTCACATTCAGCTGCCTCAATGGTTCGGTTACAGTACGAGGTACCTGACCTGAGGAATTTTCTACATTGCTTGTTGTCCATGTAAATGAGTCAGAGGGGGTGGCAGGAAAGGACCATGGGACTCATGCCAGCTGAATTTCTAAATCCCCAGCATGCACATCCACACATTTTCTAAAAATGGCAGCCTGGTATTAATGAATCAAAAGTGTGTGTGTGTGTGTGTGTGTGTGTGTGTGTGTGTGTGTGTGTGTGTGTGTGTGTGTGTGTTCCTGTAGTTCTCTGGGACTCAGCCATGAGAATTTGTTCTGCCACAAAGCTTCATGACTGCATGTGACTTGTCATATCCAGAAATTCTGAAATACCCTCATCCAGGGATGGATTAAGATGGTAGGTGGGTCCTGGAGTAAACTTGAGCTATGGGTCCCTATTGATCCCCCAATTCCTCCTACTCTCATTGCATTATGTACGTATGCTGTAGGCTTTATGTACCCATCACACACAGCGCACAGGAACAGAAAACTACCCATTAGGTATGTGCATCTACATCTCGATTCATTGCCAACAAGCCAATACATTAAATATACATATGAAGCTACCAATGTGAAATGATATGATTCATCATTATTGCAAACCAGTACAATTCAACGCAATATGATGTGTATTGTACTGTATCCTATGTGCACTTTTTTAATCGGGGCGATCAATTTATGCCGGTGCACTGATGCAAATCAGTGAATCTTACAGTCCCATAGCAGCCCTGTTATGTTTTGCCCAGAGCCCCAGAACCCACCTAGTACTAGTTACTAGTTAACATACTTAATGTATGTAATACACAATTAATGTAAATTATGTCATTATTGGGCGATTGCAGAAAAGTAGAGTCTGCTAAAATTCATGTTAACACTTTCTTTGAATATTCCTCAAACAGATATACAATATTTGTAACATTTCAACTATTTCACTTTGTCAACATTTAACAGATTATCTATAGAGCATACAATATAAAACAGCTGTAGGCAGACTATCCAAATAGTGTTACCCAAATCAGATCAGATCTGACCATTTTCCATCACTTTGTGTGTACAACCAAATGCAACACTCAATGACTTTGTGAAGAGACTTGAGAAGTGTGCACCACGATCCCCATTTGTACAATGCATAGTTTCTCGCCCCTTTCTCTGACAGCAGGCTTTTAGCCTCACTTCTGAGTATAGCCATTCAGAACTGATATAAACACTTTTGCCTTTAGATGTTGTTGACACATACTGGATGGCTGGAGTGAAAAAAAAAAACCAGTAAGCATGATCCAGGCAGACATTATATTTTCTCAGTACTTTCATGAGCAAATTAGTAGTATGCAGACATATTTTGAGTCTTATTTAGTTTTAGTAATTGTTAAAATTGTGATTAGTCAGTGTATTTGTCTTGGAGAATAAGATTCATGGGATGATTTTGCTTAAGGTACATGCTGGCTAATGGTTCCATCCATTCATTTGTGCTGACTTCAATTGGAAAAATATGTTGTTAGCAATTTTCTGCACTTAAATTGGACTTTGATTCAGTCTATTGTATGGCTTCATTTGTGTGTAATGGACTGGCCAGCAGGACCCGAGAGATCGCGGATGGACTAATGCTGTAAGCTGGGGGCATCTGGGGGAGGCAGCTGGCATGCTCTAATGTCCTCGTTTCTCTTCACTTTCCCATTGTCTAGTCACAACATCAAACTGATTACATGCAGTTAAAATGTTTACAGTCGAAAATGTGAACCGGAAAGAGTGCTAAGAAGGAAGGAATGAATGAGAAAGTTTGCTTTCGGGTGCGAGGATGGATGCAGTGTAATTAAGCTGCCATGCTAAGCTGTTGTACAACTACATGACCCCTTTCTAGATGGCAGACGTGGGAATAACTTGAAAATTACTCTTATTATTGTTAATACTTTTTTGGTTTGGTGTGTGTTTGTATGAATGCGTCAAATATGGTGCCAAAAGGTTCCACAATTTTTTGAGAATGGGAACCAGCTGAAATTTATGTTCAATTTAATACTAGCAGAAGAGGGAGAAGAGGGGGAGGAGGAATAGGTAGGTAGCTGGACTCGGAGATTATACGAGAATAGAGCATGTTTCAATCTATGTGCTTGTATCCAAAACAATCAGCATTCTGTGAGGAACTGCTGGAAGCTGTGTGGTTAAACACTAGGTGTCTGTTACAACATGTGGTGACTTTGTTCAAAAACAACAATGGTGGCTGTCAGAGTTGTTTCAATCCATTATTAAAAACAATAGAAGATGATCTCCAGCGCTGGATGAATCTACCACTATCTCTATTAGGACGAATAGCCACAGTCAAAATGAAAATACTCCCCCACATCAATTACTTTTTCTCAATGCTACCCATCATACCAACAGACAACTAAACTATCTACTTTACAAAAAACCAAATCCCAAG